AAGCAAGTTGGAACACTGCCAGACCGGTAATGAAGGAGTTCTGATTGTCTGTCTGATTCTAGCCATGTATAAATATGGCGACTTGAATTTTTCAATCATTGTTGGTAGTAGCTGCAGGATGATGAAGTTAGAACAATTTAGATGTTTGCAGATTTAAATGGTTTTTAATTTTTTTTTTTTAAAGTGTTGTTTTGAAGCCAAGAGTCTCGTTTTGGAAGAACTTCTTGTTGTGCCCGAAAGCAGAATTGGTGAATTCTTTGCACAAGTAGCTCTTACATTTTTAAATTCTACCCGGAAAACATGTCGGTAATATTGGATTCTAGTCTTGTTATATTCAGTATTAAACCGGAATTAAGGGGACTAGTAGAGTTTTACGGCATTATTACGTCATTGAAGCCTAAATATGGAATCTTCTTTATATCCCATATGTAATGGCATGTTTCAGAAACATGGGCTGTCTTACCTCATGATTACTTTATGTTGTCATGATTTTCTCTACAGGAGTACTGAATTATTTACAAAAAATGAAATATTTCCTTTTTTCCTGTTCGTACGCTTCCTGTGTCGTTACATGTCAATATTAAGAAACTATTCGTGTTTGTTTGGCAACCTAAAACGCTGGTTAAATGATTTACCTAATTATTAGCGGTCCATTTAAATCTAGCAGTGTATGTAACTAAACAGAAGACCCCTTCTTTTTAACGTTTTTCGCAAATTCACTTATTGTATATTTGGGGGGGGCATTAATTTCTACAGAGAACCCTTCAGATGAAACCCCACAATTTAGTTGTTAAAATAATCCATTTAATTTTCCAATGCCGAAGCTTTTGTGAACTGCTGTTATGCCCTGCATATCAGAATTTAAGTTGAAATCTTGGTTATTCAGTAAGATATTTTTGTGTAAAACTTTGGTCGGAAGAGAACACAGAGCTTGGAAGACCATGTATATGGGAGAATAATATTAGAATTAATCTTAAATATGAACCCGGTGATAAACCTTTGGGCTTTATAAAAGGCGGGAAATGACTGACGGACTGTCAAGAGCTCTGCTCCGTGGACATTTGGGTGATTTAATTGGCCGTCATGTTTCTTATATAATTGTATATGCAGAATTGCATAATTAATGGTTTAATAAGATATTTAGGCGCACTACATAGGAAGCAAGTTGGTTTGTAGTAGTAAAGGTCTTGTAGTCGAAGTTGTGTGAAACCAATGAAAATTATCTCCTGTCCAATGGTTGTCCTTGATCACTTCCGTGGGAGAAAGGAGGCTGAGTTATAATTCTGACCCGTTACCTCCATCTTTTCCCGAGGTAGTCAAAGGATGCGCTTGCCAATTGAGACTCTTGCACGTTTATAAACTGCCCATAGTCGATAATGTTCATGCATAGTGTATAGTCCGTTTAGCATAACATTGATTTTAGTTGTGTTGCAGTATTCAAAGCATGTCGTTTCGTTCGTTGGGAGTGTTTTTGATACCATAGACGCCGAACGTCACGGCGAAGTACCCTGGGAATGAATTCGATGTTTCAAATCTCTGCTCGGCGACCTATTATTCTGACTAAAGTTTATCTGATTTCCGTTCCTCCGCGCATTCTTGGCCTCGACGCTGGTGGAGGTGAGTCATATTCGTCTTCGTCTGAAATTACTTTCTGAATAACTGCGTGGCTTCTGGGACCAGTGGAAGTTTTGTGAATGCAATCGCTGATCGATATTTTGCTTTTGACATAATTAACTTTAGGCCTTGATCTCAGTTTATTGCAGTACATCGTATTCGCAGTCTTTCATAATGTGTATTCATTTAAAATATCTCTTACATTCAAAAAAAGAGTCCATGTTATTGTTTGTGACGGGTAGATGCGTGGGTTAGTAACTGCGTCTTCCTGCGGCACGATCCTAATGTTTTCAGTATCACTGTTTCCTTTCGCGTGTGTTATTGTCAGTAGAGTTACTGACATACTCTGGAATACTGCGATATGGCACGAGTAGTTCATTGTTTGCTAAAGTTTGAAGGAAACTGCGCACTACGCATGAGGAATACTTCGCTTATTATACAGAGTGTCCCAAAGAAAGAGATGTACGCACATTTCTGACGCATGTAATATTTGTGTGATTACATATTTTTGGGACGCCTGTGCTTAACTACACCGCAGAGAAAATTGCGCCAGAGCCTCCAGTGACTATCATAGCTACGATGTCGTATTTAAATGTGCTGTACTAATTTGCAAACTTTAATATCTTCTTCGAGGAATAACACTGGCTCCAGAATAGCCGATACCGAAATGGCTCAAAGTACCTTGAACCGTTTACTAAATATCTTCCGATAAAATATCAGATAGATTTCTAGCAAACCATCTGACAATGTACATTGATATCGGCGGATGTAACTACAGTTTTATCAGACCGAAGATCGTATGAAACATGTCAATATGTATTTTAGTGCATCCGATATAGATAATATCAGATCGTGTGAAAGTGCTCTTGTGGTTACTGTATTATGTCTTATTCTAAGAAGCCGTAAAACTTGAACAGTGTCTGCTAGTTTCTAAGTTCAGAAGATTATGTTATAAACTATTATTAATGACTACATTTTATGAGTTTATCGTGAGATTCGCTGATGTATGCATTTGCGTAGTCCATACCTCTACATTGCTTAATAGTCGTGTTGTAGCTAGGGGTTGTTCATAAAAGTTTTAGTCGTAAAACATGAGAAGGAAGACACCACTTGGAAAACCTAGGCGTTGATGGATGTTAAAAAATATGTAAAGGAAATGGGGTATAAGAACGTGGAATGGATATATCTGGCTCAGAATAGGGGCCAGTGTAATGAATCTTAGGGTTCCATAAAAATCGAGGAATGTCTTGATTGATTACTTTGGCGACTATTAGCGTTTCGAGGACTATTTTTGAAATTGAAATTTTGTCCCATGCCGTACGCATTTCCCAGGGGAAACATGGTGAAATGCCTAGGTTTGTGGCAGCACAATTTATGTTTCTTCTTCTTCTTCTGCTCCGATTGAGAAGAAACATTTTGTTGGAATAGTCCATGCATCAGACCACGAATTTTAGCTTTCCCGTCCCCATATTTTAATGAAAAGGTTCTGTGGGCAGAGTTATCCAGTTTCCCCACCTCGTTAATATCCGAGTTTCCATTAAATTCGAGAAGACTTACCCCTACTTGGTACAGTATCCTGATGCCTCTACCGTCGCCGAAATGATGGGACTGTGGGAAGTAGTGGCTTTCACTCGCAGGTGCTGTGGCGTCTTCGTGCTGTTGGATGTCCTGTTCGTCGTACATGTGATGGTGGTAGTTGTAATGGTGCTGGAATGCAACTAGTGGAAGTCGGGAAGCTATCGCTGTGCTTACAACACCTGCTACCATTCCTAGTAATAGCACTGCCAGACTTCTGACACTCATCTCGTGTTGTTGACAACAGCGACTAAACATCGTCTCTCATGAACGTATTCACTTGTTAGTGGCACGAACAGAATACAATCAATATCTCCCCCTGTCCGTGCACTATGGATCTGTTTCTAAATCAAGTCCACTGGAATGTACTATTGATTGTAGGATTAATTTTAAACTCGGTTTAATGCTTTGTTTTCAAACGTACGTTTTAGATTTCGAGTGAAAGGTTTACCGTCTCGTGCGTGTATGTAAAAGCGCACTAAGTACCTGCGATCAGCTGATTGTAAGGGTCTGCGCCTAGCTCCGTGTCACCGACGCTGTTACTCGGACACTTTGTTGTTTTTCAAGCTTGTGGTTGCTAACCTTGTTTGTTCTCCGATGTTTTCTTGATGCACGTGGCAAAATTACTGTGGTTATCTTTTTTCTATAACCTTACTTCATTCCTATTTACGAGCATTCAAAACCACATGGATAAAGATTATGTAATTTGTGTAATTCGCTGGATGAATTTAAGTTTCTTGGTAATACTTTTCTTTCTGAAATGTGTTGTAGATATGTTGACGTATTAATCACGAACTGAGAATTATAAATCATGTATCAACTTGTTTATGATTAACTTTGATTCAGCACTCATTACAGATTTGTTAGTTGAAACTTCATAACGCTTCCGTTGAACTAGAATATCATAGTGATGATTACACGAATCAGCTGTTGAAACACTTGTAATAAACGTGTATGGATCTGAATTCAAAATACTTGAACAATTGTTATTGAAAACAATTAACGGACGCATCTGATGTCATTAGTTTCCTCTCTTACGAAGCGTTTAGAACGTACATATTCACTAAATAAAGAACTTTCGGGTGGTGATAACTTCACACTCACTGCTCAAAGTGGCCTGTCAGTGTTGTAGCACTTCACTTCAGGTTAATAAATGATGAAACTACGCGTCGCTTCTGCCCGACGCTGAGCGTAGTGACCCAGATCGTCCTTTCGTAACGAAAGTCCGTGCGTTGAAGTCACCAAGTGGGCCAGTTCTCTCGTACAAGTTAGGTCTGTTTTCGCTCCTAGCGTACACGTATGAACGTACGTCCTTCTCTGTCTACCCGGTCGACTGTGCACCCAATCTCCGCTACTACAAGGTTTTATAGGAAAGGTTTTCTCATGAATGACTTGGGACGAGTCCATTAGGAGGAGGGAGGCACACCTGAGACGAGTGAGGACACAGGTGGGGTGGGGTGATGTGGTCTCACAGCAAGATCAACAAGAAGAGAGACAGAAAAAATGAAGTGTTTTTATATTATTTTTAAATGAAAGATGAACGTGGCTGCTACGCCCCCTCCCGACTTGAAGCTGCAGCCCCCTTTTCTTTCGCCTCGCCTGGTTTCATTCATGTGAATGTTATTCTGAAATACTAGTACTACCATAGTAATGTGATGGCTACCCCTATTTGTAATTCTTGATCATATGTTGTTAGCGAGGAGTTTACACTTCTGTGGCCACATGCAACCAAATTTATTAACTTCATAAACAGTGGTAGGTTAGTTTTCTTGGACTATCGATGTTGTTCTTCAGGTTTGTAACTCCGTGTGGACTTCTAGGTATATGCCAACTTTACGGAGGAACATACTGCCGACATCTTCAGCTTTGAAAACTGATCTTATATACAGTGCTTGGACCATCCCTTTCGCAAACCTTGGCATCGTACGTGTAAAGACGTACATACTTAATAATCACGCCATATGGGCGTATAGTGGCGAAACCTTGGCATCGTACGTGTAAAGACGTGCATACTTAATAATCACGCCATATCGGCGTATAGTGGCGTGGACGCAAAACTCCACGCATATTGAGCAACGTAGTTAGATGGGCCAAGTGCTCAGCTTTAAGCTTCGGGCCAATTTCCTCTCGGAGGAAGGGCTCTCGGTTCTTATAGACCTTTTTCTCCGCCACTGCCCACTATGTGATCAAAATATTTCAGAAGCATGAAGGAACGCTTTTAATATATATTATATATTATTTAATAAATATTATCTTCTTTCCAGGTGTTTGATTTCGGAACTCTTATTTGTATCATTAGTCTATTTCGTATCAGGACTAGAAATTAGTTTATTTTATGTATGTGTGTAGGTAGGTAGGTTAGTGGTGTGTGGGTTAGTGTAACCTATAAACATAAATTTATAACCTGCATTCTTACATCACAGACACCAATGTTGGTTTCTTAATTTTATGATCTCCAAGCGTTCAGTGTTAAAGTGTGGGCTAAATGATTAGATCTCCTATTCTCATATCTTATTCGGGAGATACAGGATTCCTTCTTCAAGTTTGACTGTCGTAACACCTGTAAATGCGCCCATAATTCCGTGTGTAGATCTTGATTGTGAGCCTTTTTAAACCATATAATATTATGCAATGTTGGTCTTCTGGGTTGTAACGCCTTCTGGGCTTGTAGGTAGAAATCAACATTTCGGAGGACCATAATACCTCCTCATGGCGCGAATACCCACAACACCATTGATCATCGACGTCTTCACCGCGGTGAAAACCTAAAATCTCACGTATTAGTGTTATATACCAACGAGCAGCCTAGTTTAGAGGTACTCGATTCCAGTTTCGATCGGGTTACCAGCTGTGCTCTCACGTTTTTTGGTGTTTCTTCCAAGCAAATGCTGTAATAAGACTTCTCTGTGGTAAATGCTGAAACAAATCACGAGGCCATCCTTCTTATTCGACTCTGTATAGCCTGTAGTTTAAGCACCGTATTTAATAATCTAAGAATCGATCAAAACGACGACTTCAGTAAGTGCTGCAAACCTTCAGTTCTTTCAGTATTGGCGTCTCCCCGCCCCTACTGGTGGCAAATAAGAGTAGGAAGAGGTACTCCAGTGGAGCATGGGCTTTCTAGCTGCTTTATAAAAGTTGAGTTTATAAGAGTCATATCTACCTTGTGTTAAGCGTTGAGAGATGTTATGTGAGATTTCAGGTTCCCACGGTGGCGACCGAAAATGTGTCTTTTGGGATGTTGCGCCGTGTAATCTGGTAGAGGCTTACCGGTGTTTCAGATGTTATTGCCTACGTCATCGAGGTCTGATGATGGAGGTGTTAGGTTTATCGATAGAGTAGGGGAAATTTGTTGCATTTTGTAGACCATTTTTTCCTTGCAGTTGCGTATAACTCAAATTGCTTTCGCCAAGGAAATGGTACTTGAATATAAGGAGTCAAGTTCGTGCTAAATGGCAGCAGAAAACACGTGTGGCTTAGTTAATGCACAGTAGAATCAGCATATATGTTCTGTTGCTTCATTTTCCGTATTGAAGCTTTACTTATAAATTAATTTCCTAATTTCGTGAAGCTGAACAATTTATTTGACAAAGTAAAATAAATTTTGTGAAGGAATTATTCGATTAACCTATCTGGCTGAGGATATTTTCTGGTATGTTGCGCCGTGGTGTCGTGTTTAAGTTTGCCGACGTTTCGGAGGTGTGTGCCCTGATGATGGAGGGAGGAAGGATCTCTGAAACGCCGGTAAACTACTACCAGACATCGTGTCGCAACATCCAGAAAACAATTCATTTGAAATACAGCGAATGGATTGGTTTTTTATTCGTTTATTTAACGACGTGTTGTCAATTTCACTGTTCTGTTAATTTGTGAATGATGTATTAGAAACATAATGCAAGGAAACGGGGCCTATTTGAAGGTACTGCCTCGCGGCTGTGGGAAAACCACGAGGTATCTCAGACAGGATAGCCGGTCTCTAATCCTAGCTTTGAACCCGTAACCTCCCGAACACGAAGCAGAAGAGTTAACGACTCAACCACGAATTTCGGGTGCTTTATCGGGACAGTTCCGATAAGTCATCGCCACGATGGATACAGAATTAAATTTCAGTACGCAGAAGGAAGATCCCACACATCTGCAGAGCATGAGATGGGTGCTGGAAGTCGGGGAATAACTTGAAGTGTAATATAAATTATGGTATTTGTAGCACGGGTTTGTAGAAGCTTGGTTATAAACAAATAAATCAAAATAGCTCATGAATTAAATACTGCCCATACAGGCAGGAAGTTAAAAAAATTTCGAACCATTACTTCAAATACGATACAAGTGTATTCTTAGAAACATTTTATTTGCATAAATTAGAGTTCCATTTCCGTACCATGTTGAAAAACGGCATTTCGTCCACCATACTTAAAACTTATGAACTTACGTGAAGATCATGTCATTTCGTAAAAGTATTTTTTAACCCTCCGGAATTCTTTTATTTTCGTTCTTCCGTCTGTTGTTTATTGAGTTTCCAATTAACTTGTATAGTTTTTCCGCTGGATTGACCAAGACTGGTTTCAATGCCATTATCTCGTGCTGGGTCTCTTGTTGTTCCAGCCAGAAAGAAAGAGATAAAAAGATTCAGAAAGAGACAACCGACTTATTTATGGTCTGGAAGCGGAGTTGGCTGGTGCAGATTTCCTTCTATTCAAACCAAACCAGTTTACCACGATTTCTCTCTCGGTTTGACTTCGACTGTGAAGTCGTTCTGGTTACAGGGACGACCGAACTAGCTGTGTGTGTGTTAACATGATTTCATTCATGCATCTGTTGTGTTCAGGAGTGCATAAGACAGAGCGAGATTTCATTCATGTCCGTGAGCTTGGCTGGTTTGCAATAGTGGTATGATCTATCTCAGCGTGGTTCAACTTGCGGCCCGCGACCACTTGTAACCCGGCCCGAGAAAGTATTTGTTAATTTCTTATTAGTTAGTACAAACCCTTTTTTTTTCGAAGTTGATATTCCGTCACTGGTAAAAGAACATTCTGCTCAGTGCTCTTACTAAAGCCACTGACTTTAAAAGCATAAGATGTACGTTCTGCCGGTACAAATTGTTATTGTATCAGATACAAACTGTTAACTGAACACAGCAGAACCAGTGTATCGTTAGCCAAGTCCAGCCAGGTAAATAGACGTTGATAGCCAGCTAGTAGAGACGTAGCTCTCGCGTCGAGCACCGCGTAACATTGGTACGCCAGGTAATTAAACGCTACACGAAACTGTGTCCCTTGTTTTACATATTACTGTCGTCAGATAAGAAGCCAAGAGTCTATCGACCGATTAACAGCAGACGGTTTAAATTAAAACGAGACGCCTAAAGCGGATATCTGGTCTCAGCTACGCTGAATAGAACTTCCAGTTAGGTCCTTTTACTTGAGGAAAATAAATATTTCCTGAGGATGTACGCTGGACTGATTCATCCATCTTAACAAGTTTGTTTTTGTATGACAGGATATAACGTACGATATTAACGACTTCCATGGGGTCACGGACTTGTAGTAAACAGTATCTGAAACAAAGAATTGTTTTATGATTCATTTTCACACATTTTCACCGCTTCAGTCATCGCCGTATGTTCACATACGAATATGTAGTGTTTCATGTGTTTTCTCAGTTACCACAGCGGAGTTGTGTAGGGTATTTTTGTTTTATTTTAGAGTCCTTTTGCTGTCAGTCTGCATTAAAGCATTAATATTTTGAGTGTAGTAGATGTTGTTTTGATTTAGTTCAATACAAAAGTTAATTTAAACTGGTGCAGTTCATCTGTAATAAAATGATAACGTTGGCCTTTTATGTGTTTAATATTATCTGACTGTGCATAATTGTAATCTGTGTAATCGAAAGGCTATTCGCTGTTCATAATTACATTCACTCTGTCATTTCTGTCCATCTATTGATATAGTATAATTAAATAACCCGCGAAACAAATAGAATCTTAGCTGAGAGGCAGAGGTATAAACACGACGCAGTATCCAAGAAGAGTAATCTTAATGCTCTCCGCAGAGACGACCTACGTAGGCTTCGTTTGCTGTTTCTTCTCGTTACTGCTTAAACCAAGAATTGGACATTTTACTGTCGTGAGGGAAAACCATGAAGATTCTGAGGACGACGTAATGTTCTTATGTTTAAAGTCAGGCTTGCGTGTTGGTTGAAATAAATTTTGAAGCAAGGAATTTGCAGAGGGAAAGCACGAGTTGTGATTGACCTCGTTATTAGAATAAGGGTGGAAGGTAAGAAATGCTATGAAGATGACGATGACTGGGACACGCAGTTGTTCGAAGAGAAACCATTGACTGAAGATGAAAT